GTAGGATGTGGCTGGCATGTGGGGACAATCAGTGGATCCAAATCAATATAGTGCTTATTATGCTTATGGTCAAAGCTATGATGCCTATGCTTATGGAGCAACTCAAGATCCTTCAGCGTACGCTTATGGTGGATATGCCGGTTATGCACAATACCCTCAGCAGGTTATCTCAGCTTGTCTTTATGTCTTTAGTAGTTCAAATTTTGCCCCCCTCAGATGCACATGACATGGTAGAAATCACTTGCAGAATTTTATTCGCTAGCAACTAATACTATGACAAAATGTTTTTTCAACTACACTAAAGGCAGTGGAAAAAAAATGCTAGTAGAACATTCTAATATTTTGGTTATGCTCTTATTTATTATTTCGCTTTCATGTACAGGCGGACGGGGCTCATGATGTGGCTGCCACAGCAGCTCAACCTGTGGAAAATGTTGAGGAAGTCTATGATCGTTTGGCCACACCAAATGTTGAAAAGTAATCAAAACCCTCACTCCCAATATTCTTTTATTTTTTTTTGTATATTTTGCATAAGTTCCGTTGAAAGCCAAGATGGATTTCATTGTCCCTTTTGATAATTTTGTAACAATTGTTGCTTTTTCTTTGTGACCACTATATTAAAAGGTTAAATGCTGCCTACACTGCTGTTCACGGACGTGCCATCCTGGGAAGAGTTTTATGGCAGACCACCTCCTCTTAAGCTGTCGTGGCCCTAACTTAGAAGGGCTGCTGCCCAGAGATTATGCACTTATTCAGGATTTTATGGAAGCTGCATGTTGGGTGAGAGAGAACAGGTTATAAGGGCGTGTAAGGCAATTAATATTAGGTTGTACCAAATATTTTGCAATTTTAAGCTCTTATACACGCTAATTGTTCCGGTTTTAGGTGTGGACGTATCTCAGTTGTAATGGTTATGAGGAAGTAAGACCGAAAACATATGAAAGTTTGCTCGTAGACTTGGGCGCCTTTATTCCCCCGAAAATTAGACAAAGCAAGGTTTTATGGGATGCTAATGTGGGTATTTCATTTCAAATTTTCAACTGATCATACTGAATACACACATTAATGATGCTGTGCAACCTGTGTTGAAGTAAGTGTATCATGTTGAGCTTACTGTTCCGACGAGTCTCAGTAGAGTTATATTTACAAATCTCCATAGTTCGAAGGCAGCGATTTCATATGGAAGTTTTTTTTTTTTTTTCAGCTTTGATTTATTTTATTGAAGCTAAAAATTAAATAAGTAAAATAAAAATACTATAAAAAATTCAAACAATACAATGCATTTCATCACATTTTTCTCTATAAAATCACCATTAGTATAATAGAAAATAAATATCAATTAATATTATTTTCCCCAAAAAAATACTAATCATCACCCAGAAAGGGTAATTTATATATAAAAAATAATAAAAAATCAAGTGGACCAAAAAAAAAAAGAAAGAA